TTTCCCTATGTGGTAGGATGAAAATACCCCGTAAAATACTGCAAAATTAGGCACACTAACTTATGGCATTTATACTGTGACAGATGTATAATAATAATTATTTATTTTCAGAATTATATGTCAGAATTGGAGACAGCCACGATACACCGACAGCGGCGAGAGTTGCAGCTGCTTATAGCGGAATTACAGGACAGAGACCGGGAATTGAATGAGATGGTACATGCACACCAGAAACAGATGATAGCATGGGAAGAAGATAGACAAAGAATTTTAGCATTAGAACAAAGGAATTCCAGGCTGGATGGTAAGAATATACTTCACCCTGGTGGAAGTACCATGACGGTAGTTATCCAAATATCAAACCCAATTGACGATAACCAAATTCTTTGTAAAGAAATAAAGTTTATATTAATTATTGTTAAAGCTGATGCTGCTTCTGTACATGTAGATGGGAAACCATGACAACCTATGTCATATTTGCACTATATTTTGTCATATGTTTAGTTTTTACACATTTATTTTAGACAGTTTTGTGCATAATATGTCAAATTAATAAGTTTTTAAATGATGATGTTGCAATAACTCATATAAATAATTGTAGCCAGCATATTTTTTCACTGTAAGTGGGCTCTGAACAGTTTGTATCTCACAAATGTTGCATTTGCAGCGCCCTCGCACAACTGTGTTTATATTAAGTTTCTGTTATAAATGGATGACCTTGCATAAACCCCTCTAATTTTAGCAAAGGATTCTAAGATGAGGATATGCAAGCAATGTGATATGTGATTTAGATTTCATGCAAATTGAAGAATTCACAAAAAAATTTAAGACAAAGATACCGTACATTTCTAGAGATACCAATGAAAATCAGTGATTCTGTGAAAGAACTAGAAACAAGAAACTTGGATTGTTTCTGCCTATGTCCTTGCTTATTCTCAAAACATATATTACTGGTACATGCTTTTTTTTATTTTAGAATATATGCAGCAATACTCTGACTTATTTTGCTTATTTCATAATGAAGCGTTTCCAAGCATCCACTGTGTTTCCTGATGCTAAATTATGTTTGTTTGACACACTCATGGAACTCGCAAGATCCCAATCACAATTCACCAGTTGTACATGTAGGTCGCATGGGTATCTACCAGTCCGGTGAAAGGCCAATCAGAGACTATATCTGTTGTTTCTCTGCCTGAAGTTAATTTGCTCCAATCATCAAACTCTAATTAATGGGAATTTGTTCAAACAAGGATTTGCTTTCTTTGTTTGATAGGAAAGCGCCATCATGTGGCAACATGCAATGTTTCTTTCTTTTTTATTAAAATCAGCAAATCTGTTGTACCATGTTGATTTCAACCAAATGAATCATTTTATTTACAGCTGAAATAAGAGGCAAAGCTGAACAAGTGAAGCATTTAACAGGCAGGTTGAAATTAATAGAAACTCAGGAACAATCCAAAACATGTGCTTTAGAAACCACACAGAAACAGTTGGAAAAAATGTCTGAGAAAGCTAGCTCATCTACCATGCAACTGCAGGACTTGGAGGTGGGTAAAGACACTGTGTTGCCATCAGTCCTCTTTATTGCTAATATATTTGACTAGTTTTTACATTTCCTTGAATTATATGGCATAATTACAAAATGTAATATACTGTATTTCTCTCTATTAGAAGCGCATACAGTTATATAAAATAAAGATATTTTTATTGGTCAAATTAAGTAATATTTTGAGGATTCAGCATAAAGGCAATGTGGTTTTTAGTTTATATGTCCTTCTATTAAAGATACCTTGTAATAGATAATAATAAATAAGTAATTTCCCTGTGTTCTCACTCACGTTGCGATTTCTGGGACTCATATTCACAATTAGGGATACGGCCACTTTGTGGGAATCTCTTTTCGTTCATGTCATAACACTCATTATTATACATCTACCGGTATCACTAAAAACAATAGAATCTCCTATTCTGTAAAAAGCTGTGTCTGCATTTCTTACAAAACATATCAGCACTTTTTTGAAACTACATCATCAACATTTCATTTCAGGTTATTAACGTCTCATTCAAACACTTTTCATTTGTTTTCACTGGATGCAGAATCACTATATAGTGTATGATGGAAATCAAATTTCTTTTACACAGTGTAAAACATTTTTGGCTGATACTTCTTATTAATTTATTTCTTCATGCAGAGATAGAAAAGTTGTATAATAATACAATTATAATGAGAATATCAAACTGCCTTTGTGCATATTTATGATATTCTGGTGATAGCAAGATATTCTTTTAAATGCATATACATGTATGTATATTCAATATGACTCGTGTTGTTTTGATTTACACTCTTACTACTCAGTATTTCACCAATTTTGACATTTACTTGATTCTGTAGTGTTACTGGTGTCATTCAAACCCAGTGCCTCATCATTGACAAATGTAGACAAGCGGGAAAACTAAGCAAATGCAAAAATAAAAATAACCAAGACATCATTCATGTTGCAAATCATGTATCTAAAACAGTGAAACATAAGGTTACAGTAAACCATAGTTCAATGTTGCATTTTGTGAGCTGTCTCTTTACCATTTGTTGTAGGGAAGAAATATGTCTTTAAACTCCACAATAAGAGAAGTGTCATCACAGCTTGGTCAGCTAGAAGCCAGAGAACAGGAGCTTATTACTATGTTAAAACTTAAGGTAAGAGTACATGTATCTGTGTGTTTATTTACAATGTATTCCTGCAATTGAGAGGTCAGTTTTAGTGGTGGTGCTTTGATGCGATATGCAGGATAATGTAGTGTGATCGAAATTGACATTGTATGAAAGTTACACCTTGTCCTCATATGAAAGTTACACCTTGTCCTCATATGAAAGTTACACCTTGTCCTCGTATGAAAGTTGCACCTTGTCCTTGTATGAAAGTTACACCTTGTCCTCGTATGGAAGTTACACCTTGTCCTCGTATGGAAGTTACACCTTGTCCTCGTATGAAAGTTACACCTTGTCCTCGTATGGAAGTTACACCTTGTCCTCGTATGGGAGTTACACCTTGTCCTCGTATGGGAGTTACACCTTGTCCTCATATGGAAGTTACACCTTGTCCTCATATGGAAGTTACCTGGTGGGATCCCATTGTTGAGATCTTTACTTTTGTACATTAACAAAACTTACACTCAGACATCATTACATTAAAGTTACATGCTTTTTTCCTTCTTTTTCACCTTGTGGAATTCCATTATCGAGATCCCCTCATCAATGCACTTAACTTAATCAAACTTTGCTGAGATCCCATTAGTGTGTTTAGTTTAATAAAAACTTCTAATTTGTACATTTCACAGGATAAAGATTTATTAGAAGCATCCAATCATATATCAGAGATAACCGGTAAACTAAAAAGATTAGACACAATGTATCGGGTAGGTTTACATGTTTTGTGTACGATTACACAAATAAATCCTACATATTTGGAGAGCAATTGTCTACCTGTCATTAATATTGTCAATCAAGATTAATTATTGCCAAGCTGCTATTACTACTGTCAACCAACCATTACTATTTCCAATCTACCATTACTATTGCTAACCTGTTATTACTATTGTCAACCTGCTATTACTATTGCCATCTTATTATTAATACTGCCAACATTTTATTATTATCTATTGTCAACCAGTCATTACTGTTGACAACCTGTTATTACTAATGCCAACATATGTTTACTATTGCCAACGTGCTATTATCGGTACTATTGTTAACCAGCCGTTACTTTTCATTATCCCAGGAGTATAGGCAATCTGATCTTAACAGTAAGAAAGACCTTGAAGACTGGAAACAAAGGCATGGTGATCTGAAGGCAGAAAATGATAGACTAAGAGGTGATGCTTTAATTCATTAATAAAGTTTAACTGTAATTGTTATTTTATAACTTTATTTTTGACAACTTTTTTGCATAACATGTGGTCATTCATACTGGGCACCTGTATGCAAAATCTTTAAATTTGTATCACTTTTAATCTTTGTGATTGAATATTTTCTTTAGGGCAGCATTTTGTGAAAGTCACTATAACTATATCATATTGCCTGTTGAGCTCTATTTTTTCCCTATTGATTTTGTGGAAGCTTTCAGCAGGCACTCATTCACATTTTGTGGAGGCTTTCAGCAGGCACTCATTCACATTTTGTGGAGGCTTTCAGCAGGCACTCATTCACATCATAGCTTTTTGGGGAAAAGGTTATGAATATTTATGAGTGAAGTAATTGGACATTGGAACATTATTTAAAAGTGAAACATACCTTAGTACACATTTAAATGCGATGACAATCTAAATTTGCATATATCCCACTATTCACACATATCCATACCACCCAAAAAATCACATATTACCAAAAAAGCCACGCATATTCTTATTGAACTATTGAGAACAAAAAATTACCCATTTTTCATATATAGATGCTCTAATAGAAGCTGAATCAACTCTGTTCCATTGTACCATTTTAATAAAAGCCGTGACTTCCAATAGAGATTAACTGATAGTCCCAAAACACCAATGTTATTGCCAGTTACTGAAATTATCACAGAATACAATATTAAATTTTGTCTCATATCGTGTAATCTATAGTAATTGACAAGTATCCATGGATACCTCTAAGGCATTCTGTATTGAGATGAAAGTAAAATGATAAGATGAATCCCATCATATGCGGATTGTCAATCAAACTTTCCTCTCGCATGACTAGGCATTGATATCGTTTCTGTCAGCATATTATTTAGATGATTACCAGTATGCCTGTTCTGCATCCCAAGTTGTTCTCATTTGCATATTTTTCTTGTTTTTTTGTTCACAGGTGAACTCGGTGTTTCATCCACCAACTCTACCTGAGCAACAGATACAAATGAACAAAGCCGAGAGACGAGATTCAATCACTGAAGAGAGAGCTTCATTTAGCAGGTATATATGAACAAATCTAATTAATTTTAATTTATAAATCTAGAAATTGAAGGACATGCAGAAAATGTAATACATGCAATTCTGTAAATTTAGTACCGGTAGTTCTACTAAAACAAGGCATGCAACCATAATAGTGTTAATAGTAGCAGACTTTTCTCTAAAACTATTGTACTGCTTTTTACCCTTTGGGCACTAATGTCAATTGGCAATATTTCTTTCTGATTTTTTATACCCCAGCACAAAGTATGGGGAGGGGGGTATAGTGGTTACCAGCGTTCGTCTGTATGTCTGTCTGTCTGTACATCCATACCAAGTCATATCAGGAGCACTATTGCAGATAAATACATTCCCACAGTGTTATATTGAAGACATTGCACACTAGATATATTTAATTTAATATATTTAATAATATTTAATGAACCTATATATGGTCATGTGACCTCATTAAAAATGCAGAATTGTCATATCTGGAACACTATTTGAGATATAGACATTTAACCAGTGCTTGTAAAAATAAAATGGTAAAAGATCTGTATTCAATATGAAATTTGGTCTAGAATTATGGAAACAAATTTTGGCTGGAGAAATTATGGTGGTCAAAAGATTGAAAATGACAGTTTGAGCATCTTGTTACTAGAGGTGTGCATCTAACATTTAACTCATTGTATTTCTCTAAATTGTGAAAATTTCTTCCACAAAAGATCAGCGTTTATCAGAAAGACACTAAATGAACAGTAATGGTGTTACGGCTCTTGCCAGGTTTTAGTGTAACGATGATGTGTAAAGCCATTTCTCTTATGTAGATTTTATTTATTTCTTTTAAAAGCTGAAAGAGACAAGCGAAAGGAGCAGCTGCTGGAATTACAGAGATCTCGGCAGGAAAGGGTTGATGCAGAACTGAATAACCTGAGACAACTGTATGAAAGACAACAGAAAGACGCAACACTACTACAACTTAATTTAGATAGTAAAAATGATCTGCTGTCACTACAGGAATCCAGAATAAGTCATGCTCCGTAAGTAGTTATACCAAGACTTGTTGGTTTCTATGGCAA